TAGGTGATTCTGAGGAACTTCAAAATATCCTCTTGAGTGTTTCTGTTTTCTAGTAAGCTTAAAATTGAACATGGATAATATGATCATTTTAAAATCCCCTGTTATCTCCCTGAATTTTCTGAACAGACCCAATCTTGGCTGTTTTCCCCAGAGCTAGTGCATATTGTGTCTGAATAGTTCATTTAAAAATATTTGTAAAAAAGAAAGCCAGACACCTGTGGCTCATGTCTTTAATCCTGACTATTTACAAGGCTGAGATCTAAGGATCATGAGTCTAATCTAGCATGAGCAGGAAAGTCCAATTAACTATCAAAAAGCCAAAATGAAACTGTGGCTCAAGTGGTAGAGAACTAACCTTGAGGGGAAAAAAAGCCCAGGCCCTGAGTTCATACCCTATGTTCAACACAAAACAAAACAAAAAAACCCTAAAGCTTATTTTATCAGCTCTTATTCTCAAAATGTATATAATCATATGGAAAATGTATGTGGTGGGATGATGGAGACCAGCAGTTTATAGCCAGGAATGGGATGAACTTACCACTCGAGCTTCCTAGAACAGAGGAGTGGAGCCAGCAAGTAGAGAATCTCCCTGCTTTGAGTTTACTGCTGGACTTTCCCTAGGAGATCTGGGGGTGAGAATCTATTCTTTATTTGACCATTGACTCAGCTTTGACCTTGAGAAACCCATTTAATTTTTCCCCACAGTTTCCCTTCCACAATATATGCTGTCTCCATCCTCATGAAACTTTTTACAGGAGTTGTTTAGTTTATTTAGATGGAAAGTTGTATTATGATAACTATAGGTTATACAGCCAGGTATAATTTGGGAAGTAGTGCTAACATTAGATTATGGACAAGTAGTGATGATTATGTCTTATAACTGAAGAGGAACAAAATACATGCTGTCCAGCTTTTGCCTTTATGTGGAGAACTGAGTGGGTTCAGGGTTGTGGATTTTCTGGATGAAGTACTGTACAAATACTACAGAAACTGCAGAGATGTACAGAATTCAGGTTTCTCTGCTGGAGAACTAGAAAAATAGGACAGTTGTTTCACCTCAGCTTTGTCTCAGCAAAGAAGAAAGAAGATTCTACGTGTCACCTTATTGTTTGCCACCTTCCCTTGGATGTTTCACAGCCTTGAGACCTGTTGCTAGTTTTTTAATTGTTGCAAAACATATATAAACGTAACAGCTTTAATCAACACATGTTTATGATCTTGCTGTTTCTATGGGTGGGAATTTAGACACAGCTTAATGGAGTCTTCTGCTCAGACTCACAAGTCCAAAATCAGGTATCTACAGGGCTGCATTCTCATCTGAGACTCAGCCAGGGAATGATCTGCTTCTGGGCAACTTTAGGTGATTACGAAATTCATCTTTGAGGCTGTGGAATTCATAACAGTTTATCTTCTCAAATCCAGCAAGAGAGCCTTTCTTTCCATTGTACTACTTAAACGAAATCAGTAAGAAATCTTACATCTTTAGAAGATGAATGGATTTCATATCCATTAGGATGGCTATTACAAAAATAGTTTTGTAAAAACATAAAAAGTGAGTGTTGACAAGGATATGGAAAAATTAAAACTCCTGTGCACTATTGATAAGAATGGAAAATGGAGAAGCCACTGTGGAAAACAGTGTGAAGGTTCCTTAAAACATTAGAAATATAATTAACATATAACCCTACAACAAAAACGAACAGCCGGGTGCCAGTGGCTCACCCTGTAATCCTAGCTACTCAGCAGGCTGAGATCTTAGGATCACGGTTCAAAGCCAACCAGGGCAGGAAAGTCTGTGAAACTCTTATCTCCAATAAACCACCAGAAAACCGGAAATGGTGCTGTAGCTCAAGTGGTAGAGTGCTAGCCTTGAGCTGAAGAGCTGAGGGGCAGTGTCCAAGCCCAGAGTTCAAGCCCCACAACCAACAAAACAAACAAACAAATCTGAAAGCAAAGACTTAAGCAGGTATTTGTATGTAGCAGCATTATTTACAACATCCAGACTTGAAATAATTCATGTCCAGGGCTGGGAAGGTGGCTCAGTGATAGAGCACTTGCCTTCCATGCTTGAGGCCCTGGGTTCGATTCCTCAGCACCACATAAGCAAAAAGAAAAAAAGCTGGAAGTGACACTGTGGCTCAAGTGGTAGAGCGCTAGCCTTGAGCTGAATAGCTGAGGGACAGCTCCCAGGCCCAGAGTTCAGGCCCCATGACCGGACCCCCCCAAAAAAAACCCAGAAATAATTCATGTCCATGAATAGATTAATAAATAAATAAAATGTGTGTATAAAGTATAATATTTTTCAACCTTTATAAGGAAAGAAATTCTGATCCCAGCCACAACATAAACCTTGATAATTTTATGCTATCAAATATTAGTCAGATACAGATTCCATTTTATAAAGTACATAAAGCAATAAAAAGAACAGAGACAGGAACTACAATGGTGGCTCCAAGAAGCCTGGGAGATAGAGAAACAGAAATAACTGTTTAATGGCTACAGGCTTAATTTTGCAAGGTACAGAGTTCTGAGGATAGGTGATGATGATAGCTGTCGAACAATGGAAGTGTGCTCAATTCTCCAAAACTATGGATTTGAAGACAGTTCCAATGGTAACTTTTATGTTCTACATAAACACAGTCAACGGAAAAAAAAAACTAATAAGCAAAGGAGGTAAAGATGACAATTCACAAATAGGCAAGGTAACAAGTAAGACTACCTATGAAAAGATGCTCAACCTTGTGGGTCATAAAGAAACCAATATTAGAAAGTAATAATATAGTACCATCTTTTAGTCTAATAGGATTTTGAATGTTTTATATCTGACATACAGATTCTGGCATGTGATTCTATCAGAATGTGGTTAACTTCTCTGCTTAATCCTCACCTCCCTTTCCCTCCTCAGGACACAGATAAAGTCTTTATTTAATACTCTTAGCATTATTTTTAGTATGCTAGTTGACTTTAAAAAAAAATAACACCTTGTCCTTGAGGCCCCAAAGAATTGTATTAAATGCAATTCTGAAATGTTTGTTGTCTTAAAAAAAAAAGTATTTGCCTGCAAAGATTAGATTATTTCCACCAATATATCCAGAGATTATAGTATTAGTAGTAGTAAAATGTGAGTCATAGTGTTCCTATGTCTTAGCACTGGCAACCTTACAATCAAACATGTGTATCCTTTCAACCCTTCACGTTTCCTATTTGTGCTAAATCATGTGACCGTGTATCTGTTTATTACCTCATAGTTTCCATGGGTCATTGTTATCTTTTGGCAATTTATTGAAAGTAATTAGAGTAAATTTTTTGGATGACAAGGAAATGTGGCTAACAATGCATCTATTATTAGGCAAACACTATGTGCCAGGCATTCTACTAAGCATATTTCTGTGATTTTTTTTTACTTAATCTGCACACCCTTCTGAGAATAGTTGTGAAATTTGAGCCTCAGAGTCCTAACAAACTTACTTCAGGGCTGGGAAGGTGGCTCAGTGGTAGAGCGCTTGCCTTGCATGCATGAGGCCCTAGGTTCGATTCCTCAGCACCACATAAGCAAAAAGAAAAAAGCTGGAAGTGGTGCTGTGGCTCAAGTGGTAGAGCACTAGCCTTGAGCTGAATAGCTGAGGGACGGCGCCCAGGCCCAGAGTTCAGGCCCCACGACCGGACCCAAAAAAAAAAAAAAACTTACTTCAAATCATACAGCTGGTTAGTAGAGACGGAATTCACATCCAGATCTCTACTTCCAAAGATCTGATCTTCCCACTCCGCAAAACAACATCTAGGAATATGAATTACATGTGTTTCATGCATGTATATTTTACTACACGTGTCAATGTGTTTATTGTGGTAAAATATATCACTTAAAAAGTGATTTATAATGACAGATATTTAAACAGATCACTGTAGAAATTGCCTGTGGATTATAACTCCTAAAATTTCATATTAGAGCAGTTAAAAAATCACTCTAGCCATCAAGCCGGTGTGCATTCAGAATAGAGTGCTTCCTGTTCTGTGTCAAAAGTGCAGATTTTGCTTCCTGATAAAATGTACTATTGGTGTACTGTCTATTTTTTATTGTGATTCAGGTGCAAATAACAGGAAAACATTTTTTTATATCTTGTCAAAAGAGGAGGTGTTTCTAAAAAAGAATCCATAATGTAATAGTGATTTAAATGGCCATTTTTCTACATTGTGAATGAGGAGAAGACAGTTTCTAGCACAGGACTCAAAGAAGTAACAATGGTCTACTGACTTGAACAGAAATGACCGGCAGGGACTTTCCCAGGATTTGGAGCCGCTAGGCAGGTCTTCACAGACCTTTGGTATTCTTCCCTGCCCAAGATGATGAAAACACACCAAACCACAGATTAGCTATGAGACATCCATGCAAATGCCAACACTGAAACAAATTGTTTTGCCAGGCCTTTATCCAGGTCTTTTTAAAAAGTCTAACACCACAAGAAAAAATAAACAAATGAAGCTTGTCAGTTGTATTCTTACACAACTCAGTGAATAGTAATGTACATTGTAATAGAGCTTTAAAGTGGTGTGAAAGGGTAAGGAAATTTTTTTTAATATCCCACTTCCCTTAGAGAATTCTTTAAGTCATAATATTTTCAGTTTTTACTAAAGGAGTGTAACAATTGGCAACAGTGGTGGTCATGCCTGGAATCGTAGTTACTCAAGAGGCTGAGGTCTGAGAATTGAGGTTCAGAGCCATATCCATGAGACTGTTTAAGTCCAGTTAACTAAGACAAAACCTGAACTGAAGTCATGACTGAAAGTCAGAAAGCCAGCTGGAGAAAAGCCATAATAATAATAATAAGTGTGAAAATCCCTGAGTTTAAGTCCCAGTACTGGGACCCAAAAAAAAAGAAACAAGAAAAACTGAAAATGAAAGACAAGCTGGAGTATGTGTTTCCACACGCGCTCGTGAGCACACTCAGGCACACTTATGTGTCTGGTCTAGTTCTAAATCGTGTACTGCTCTTCTTTTGCAGAGCTCATACTTGTTTCAACCGTCTGGATTTGCCTCCATACCCATCCTTTTCCATGCTTTATGAGAAACTGTTGACAGCAGTTGAAGAAACCAGTACCTTTGGACTTGAATGACCTGATCACGCAGTGGCCAGCTCTTCATGAACAGGCAGATCAGGCAGCTGGCCTTCAGAAGAATGAACACTGGAAGTCAGGAGACAAGGCTTCCATAGAGTGAAGTGGAGTGCTGTTGTTTTCCGGGAACATGTGCTCTCCCATTTGGAGAGTGGCAGATGACAAGTCCTCATGGCAGGGTTTGAATGAGCTTGATGCCCAGGGGACAACCCAACAGTCTTTCAATCAACAGTTCTTGACTGCCAAATTTTTTTTTTCCATTTGTTATGTTCCGAGACAAAGATGAACCTCTACGTGATCAGCTCCATGGTAACTTTTAGGGACTCAGGAGAATCTTGAACATGATTCAAGCTAAACTGGCAATACTTCACCCAACCTCCAAATTAGTGTGAGTTAAATCTCATCATGAAAACTGATCTATTTCCTGGAAGTACGTTCATTTAAGCCCTCCGTTTAACAGAATATTCAGTTCTTGCTTATGAGTGCCTGCATGGTGTACACTATAGGTTTCAGCTTTCATTGGACACAAATGAAAACCGAAACTGAAGTCAATATGAAGTAACTTTTAATGATTTGCAACAAGGTGGTCTGTGACAATGTATATGCAAGTGGTATGTGTGTAATTATGGCTGAAGACAAACTGTTACTCAATGAATTACTAAGGACAGATTTTATGCTTTATAATGCATGAACACAAGTTTAAAATAACTAACAATTAATCACAGCATATCAGGAAAAATGTACACAGTGAGCTCTGATTATTTTGTATAGGTTCATTATATTTATGTTCTTTAAGGTGTAAATAAGAACCTATCTATCATACTGTATGTGTCACCTTTCCATTTTCATGTTCCATGCTTACTCGGGCATCATGCTGGTATTTCTTTAAGCACTCTCAAGGGAATAAAGGGCCTTTTATTTTTATAAAAGTAGAAAAGAAAAAAAATTCCCCCAAATATTTTGCACTGAATGTACCAAAGTTGAAGGGACATTACAGTATGACTAACAGCAAATCCATCACTGGACAACTTCAATAAAAAGTAGCTTCTAAATCAGACTTCCTTCACAGGGCCATGTCAAACACTACAAGGACTGTGCATCTAAGTAATAATTTTTTAAGACTCACTCTATGTGATAGTATGATATGCATTTATGTAAAATGCATTAGACTCTCTTCCATCCATCAAATACTTTATGGGATGGCATTTATTACAGATATTTCGTATCTCCCCCACAGCTTTTTATTTGTACAGCATCGTTAAACACTAAGCTCAGTCAGGGAGCTATCAACTACATCGAAGACATGAGCTCTCTTTAGTAATACGAATTCCATTTTCCCTTATCAGTAAAGATATCACAAGGTGAAACACACAGCACTATATTTCTAAGACTGCATTTTCACAGATGCATAATTTTCTTATTAATATCGACAATTTTTCTATGGCATCTCAAATATCGCATGACATCGTTCATCTTAATTCTGCTTTATTTTGTGAGAGGATATCCTTCATTTTCATTGCTTTTGGGATTATTCTACATCACTGTCAGTTCTTCGATTTATGGCCATAAAGGGATCAGATGCACAATGCAGTGGAGATCTATTAAGGGTGGTAAAAGTGTTGGATTAATATTTAATTTGCCAGCCTGTGGATCCCTAAGAATGGGCAGAACATTTTTTAAGAATCATGTATTTAAGTAAAAAATTGAATTCCTATTATGATATGATATAGGCAATCTTATATTTTATAGAGGTTCATATGCCCAGTTTTCATAGGGGTTTTATAAGCACTGATTGCTCTCCTCTTAGTGAAGCTGTGTTGATCACCAGGACCCTCAAGAGAATACCACTCAGGTTGCATTCCTGCACTAAAGGCAGGTGCAAAGGGGTGGGGAACTGTTCTGGACAAAGGTTACAGAAATTGGGGGTGGGCATATTTATCTGTATACTATAATGGGACAGAAAAAAGGGAAGAGAAAGCATATTTAACTGGAAATATTTGTTGTACATATTGATCATGAATACAAGTATATATTTAATTTGGCAAACTATTTTTACTTGTTTGTATTTTTTTCATTTTAAGAAATATAGTATAATACATTAATGTACTTTTTAAGATCACACTTTTGATACATCAGAGCTAGAATTCTCAACAGCTGATATGGAAGGTTTATTCTTAAGAAAAAAAATTATGTATTAGTAAACTGTCAGCTTTCATTTTGGTTTGAGACACTTTGTTTCCAACAATCATTTTGCTCCCTAAAGAGAGATTTGAAATAAGATGCATCTCCCTGATTATTCCTAACAAATACATTTCCTTGTTAAGGCATCCAATTTTGAAAATAACTGTTTTCTTTACTGTATGCAGACATTGTTCATGTCTCATGTCTTGTAGAATAGTCTAGCTGACAATTCTCACAGTTGGGAATTATCAAAGATGTATTGAGCATATCAAAAGCTATGAGAGCTTACGATTCTTCTTTGGGCAAATGAATAGCCAATAATAACTGTATAAAATATTGAATAGCACTTCCACAAAATAAATCAGATATGAATATACTCTATAATTTAAAATATCCAGAAATATGTTCTTCTGGATTATGAGCCCAAGTAACTTAGTCCCTTGATCTTGTTTTCTTTAACCAACGAAGATGACATAATTGAAGAACTTATAGCAAAAAGTCAACTGATACTTCACATATTTGGCAGAACATTTCTTAGGAAAGAGAAGAGGCACATGATTGCCATACCCTCTGGGTCAGTTGCTGTGTGTGATGATGGAGCTACAGATTCTGAGTCTGATCCCTAGAAGCTCACAGCCCACAAGAGGAGACATAGATCCCTCCAAAAATATTTTAAATAAAAAATAAACTAAGTTCTACAATCAAGGAATGAAAAGAAAAAACAACAACACTCTATTACAAACTGAAGAGGTGTAATTTCCAATTCACGGTTGGGAAATAGTGCAGCTAAAATAAATGACACAAATACTGTTTTTATAAAGTAAGTGACTGTGAATTTACACAATGATGGTTTGTAGTGTGTATGTGGGGAGCTCAAGTGTGAAGGGGGAGCTCAAGAATTGGAAAAATTATGGAAGAAATATAGAAGACATTTCCTTCTGTTACCCTTCATCTATATTAACATGTACCTTTGGTTTTCAGTGTAAAAAAACAAAATCCAAGATCCTAAGCTCACACACTTAGGAAGTCAAAACATTTTTCTTGTGCACAAAATGAATGGATCAAAGAAGTATAGTCACAGTGTTCTAGAATATGTTGAGTTCATAATTAAATTGAAATTTTCTAATAAGTGAAATCTGGAAAACACTATTAAACACAAGGGGAAAACTTGCAAATTTATGGTTTCAGGTGATATTCATTCATTTAAACTCAAGCTTCAGGAAGGAAAGATGGCTAAGATCTAACCATGGTGGGCCTAACCATTCAAAATGGTAAACTATGATGCAATAATAACAAAAGTGTGTGTTTGCCCCTTGCTCTGGAGTTCCGCACAGTTCTCTGGTGCACTATCTCTTCTGATCCTTAAGTACTTTATTGGGGAGAAGGATCAAGTTCTCCCTCTCCCTTCTGGGTTGAAGCTGGTTTTCATGGCTAATCTTGTGGAATCCATTTCAGTACTGTACAGTCAGAATTCTGTGCTGTAGCTCAAAAGATGTGGCAGTGAATGTTTATGCTACTGTTCACTTACTGCCAGTTGTAGACCATGCTTCATTTTTCCAATTCTCCCTTTCCTAAGCAAACACACTTCAAGTGTGATACCTTCTTAAAAAAATAAAAAGTCCATTAAAAAGTAGTATACTCATGGGGGGAAATGTCATAGGCGATAATTTGCTTCTCATTATTTTTCATAAGAAATTTAAAACAGGAGGCAGAATTTGGTTGGTTTGGGTGGATTGATACAGTATTGCATAAGAAGTAAGCATGAAAAACAGGCACCAAGACACAAGACTTGCTCTATTTTTTTTTAATTCTTAATGAGAATGGGTGTCAAAAGACCTTGAAAACTGGAGCCCAGGACTAGGAAGAAAGAGATATTTAGGAGTCCCTTTCTCTGTCTTCCTCACATTTGTCCAAAGGTTTTTTTTTTTTCTTTTTGCACAACTTTTATTTATAACTTGGCTATTTCCAACAAGGCAAATGTCTTATAGTGAAGAGTCTAGGAGTCTGCCCAATTTATCCTTAGGAAACTCCAGAGACAGAGAAGACAGTGCCACACCACCATTAAAAGGCATCACTAATCCTTCTTAATAGAAAACACGCATATGAAGAACCTAGCCTAATCTTTGAGCCAAGTCCGAGTTTCAGGCCCTCTTCCTCCCCTTTATCTGCTTTGATGAGTGACCACACTCCATCTTAGCCATCTTCCATCCATGGGACTTGACTTTAAATTAATCAGAATGCCTCTTAGATCAACATTCTATTGTGGAAAAACTTGTCTTTCTACTTTAAGTGTGTTTTCCAGATCATTTGTGTGGCATGGAAGCAAAGGAATGCAAGACATTAAAGTTTCCTTAATTGTGGCTTAAGGCCAACTGCTATCCACTGAAAGGGGGATAAAAATAAAAAGTGGAAAAATAAAAGCCCAGCAGTTGTGCCACCCCCAAGAATTGAATGCTAATATTGACCAGCTGTCAGGCATCGGGAGTAATGTGACATTCCAAAGAGCTGGCACAAGGGATAAAGTGAATATGTGTGTTGCCATTTCAGAGCAATCTGGACCGGCAGAGGAAGGATGTTTGAGACAAGGAGAATAGTTGAGAGTTTGCAAACAAAAGTGGCAAGGCCATGGTGGAAAGATCATCTTAGAGCATGCTGGTTATAATTTGGTTTTTGGCTTGGAAATCTTCCAACTTGCAGGGGAAAGGAGGGTAATTCTCATTTTATAACTCAGTAGGTTAATATTTTCTACATGACAAAAATGGAAGTTAGCCCTAAAGTATTAAAGCTAACCATAGTTTAGGCAGGAAATCCAACACTTTTACATTATGTTGTAGATTGTTCTGACTTGCATTATTACTATTGAATACTGTGTATGAAATAAAGGAAAGGGTGCTTCATTATACTTAATTTGTTTTTAGCAGATATTCTTTGACATTAGAATGTTTTTGATACATTTTTGTGTATCTAGTGGTAACTTAACTGCTCCCTTGTAATCTCAAAAGAAAAATCTTGAGTGAGGTTACCCAATTGCAGAGACTTAATCAGTGTTTCTAACTCAAGAAGGTAATCCAGACAGGAAATACATTCACTCAGATTTCTATCTTCAAGGTACTTTAGTTAGGTTTTGTGATTGAACAGCATTAGCAGGATAGAATGACTAATTGCATGGTGTCTGGGGAACATAGGAAAATCAAATGAGTATATATGATCTGTATGCCTAGTGCCCTTGGGCAGGTGATATCTGTCTATCCAGCTTTCTTTTTTGTTTTTTTTAAGAGATATTACAACCCTGAGGAGTGTTGATAGGCATGTTGAATGATTCAAACTGAATCAGCTATTACTGATGAAGACTAGGAACCATCAGTAAACTTCTGGTTGCTATCACCTTCTACTTAAAAAAAAAAAAGGATGCAAAGTGTTCAAGAAATACCTTGGAAGGAAGGATTAACCAGGAAACACAGAACTGAATGTTCTTTTAGGACCCTAGTGCTCTAAAAGATGTAATTACAGCCTATTTTCTTTCTTTATATGATATTATAAGTAAACGGGGCTGTTGCTAGGTTGGAAAGTGCATAAGATTACATGTTTTTATAATAGGGATGCAGGCATTCCAAAATAGATGAATTAAATTACATGCATCTCTCTTGCCTCTTACTGAAAGTATTAATCTAATTTTATAATAATGCTTACTTTTTAATATCAAGGCTCTGTAAAAAAAATCATTTATTTCTAAGATCTCGGTAGAGTACAGGTGGTGTATTTTTTTAAGCCTTTCCATTTCTCTACACTATTACCCCACTCATTACATCCAGTATGCCATCTATCACAGGTAATAGCAACATTTCTATTTTTGTTGTTTTGATTTATTTCATATTTATTCAATGTGATTTTTAACAGAGTATAATAATGGGAGAGATTTGCTATTATAATCAAGATTATATAGCACTCATTTCACTTTACATTTAAATTACTTTTTCTCAAAGCCAATTATGCAGATTGTGGACATCCTAGAAACGGTTCTTGGGTGGTGTAATAGTAAAGCCTTGGACTCTGAATTGTGGACTAGTTATTTGTTTTCTGGGAAGTCTGTGTACTTATCCCCACCTGAATCCCTGACTCTTACGTTGTATTTTTTTATGATTATTAAATGTTTTGAGGGAAAGATATTTTAATGTGAACAATTTGTTTTATTTTCATACTGATCTCTATTTTTGTTTAAAACCATGTTACATCATGAAATCACTTAATCCAAAATAAATCTTCTTTAAAAAATAAATTCTGACTTTTCTGTCATACTTGTGGGGAAGAACAAAAGTCATGATAAAGATCTTGGGATTAGTCTGCAGCTCTACTAAAGCAGGAAGTTTTCTTTTCGTTGCATGTATAATCAGGAATGTGTTTTGTTTATCCTTATCAAATATGGGTTGAGATTGTCAAGTCATCTTGATTAAATGCATAATTCATGAACATACATGTAACCCTAACACCGCTACCACCCACACAAATTCAATCCTATTGTCTTTTTTCGCAGGGACTGGCTAGGTATTTAATAAGCAGCAGAGAGTGATGGAGATTTGAAGTATTTTGGTCCAGCAGATCCTAACCACTATTAAAATATATGCTGTTTACCAAGAAAAACCTAGAAATCCAGTTTGGGGAGACATGGGAGTAATTTTGTTGTTGTTGTTTTCATTGTATTGTTTTAAGACAAGTTTTCACCATGTAACTTAGGTTGGCCTGGAATTTGCTAGACAGCTGGAGCTGGCCTGGAATTATAATCTCTCTGCTTCAGTCTACTGATTGCTGGGATTAAAGGCATGCACCATGTTGCCCAAGCTAGAATCCAATTTATTTTGTTATATTTCCATTTTAAAAAATTGGGTGAGTTAAACTAGCTGTGTCTATAGGTTGAATTTGCATTGAGTTCAATAATATATCTTGTACTTTATTGATTACTGATATAAAAGAAATTGACCAAAATAAATACATAAAATGTCACCAAGACATGGTAAGAAAGGACCTGGAACAGAGAAAACTAGAGACCCAATATGAAGATAGTTGGCCACTGAAGGGCAAGGTGAGTACATATTGTGAAGGAAGTCAGTCACTAAAGAATCTACTTGTGGTGATCTACTTTTCAGTATCTCTCTTTAAATCACCTTGTACTAATTCTTATGAATTA